AAGGTGCTTTCCATGTTTGAAGGAAAAACTATCCTTTTGTGAAGGACTTAAAGATCTTAGAATGAACTGAGCTCAAACTTCACATCACAATGCGGTGCACCAATATCAACACAAACAACATGAATATCAAACATATGTAGTAAAAGAAGTAAGAAGAAAAACTTGCCGCAATTGATGAGTAAACATTCTCAAGTTGTTTGGCTATAGTGTTGCATGCATCAGATAAACTACACTTGGTTGCAAACATCATATCTGGAAGCCTCCAACCCTGAGAACCAACAACAAATACATGAATTACCCCTATCATACTACACATTTAAAGTCGTAAAAAAATTGAAAAATGAAAATCTACAAATTACTAAAGCATAGTCTACGAAGTAAAAATGGATGTTATATCTGTTTACTAAAAAACATATAGTTTTTTTTCCCATTTCTAACAATACCAAACTTATTCAAGCTCTTATATTTGAAATCTACCAAGTTCAGGATACTGAAGAAGGCCAGGAATGAGAGGATAGTGAGGTGAGTTTGGAGATCAATGAAGGCTCAAGGCAGCACTCTTGAGGTTGAGGGTGTGCAGACAGTCGCCACTACATGAGTTTTGGTGTCTCACAAATCAGCTTTTGATGGGCTTCATATAGCAGTTTGGCAATTCTTATTGAGCTGTGCAGCTAGCTGCACTATAGGCTAAGAACCAATCTTATCTTCCAGACTAAAATAAGTGCAGTTTTTAGAGCCTGCAAGTGTAGCAGGCTTGATTAATGAGCCTGGTACATCATATGTTGGCCCACTTCACCTGCAGTGTAACATGTCCTTACGACTTCTTCATTTAAATGTACTCAGTTAAAAGAGGGTTATTTTTCTTCCCACAGCTCCCTTGGGGCCATGGATAATTAGAGTATCATTCTTTGAGATCTAATATGACTAGGATCCAGCATCAGAGCAGCCATTTTTGTAACTACAATTTATCTTTTAAATTCAAGTTTATTCATGTTTAAGATTTGAAACAACTCACTTTGTATTTCTTTCTCCTTATTCATCAGAGCAAACCAACCCCCTGTCCCATTTAGTACGTCTCAAGGTCTTCAAAACAGTTTACTGCATTTGATGCGCCAATGACATGATGGCCTATCCTTTCATCCACTCTATACTTGCTCTACAAAACACCATGCTACCGTACATTTTTTCACACCTTCCTTAGTCCACCATGTCTTCCTCATTACCAACACTAATTTGTCATTACAGTTTATTGTTGTGGTTTCTGAAGCATTTCTAAATCATCCATCAATAAATTGAAACATATTTTCAATTTGACTAGAATTTTGACTTTTAAAACTCATCTAAAACAGATAGAAAGAATATAGAATGACCCAATACACAACTTCACCTATGTATGACCCATGGATGCCCTTACCTTCCATGTCAAGAAAATTTTGAAATAATCAAAATACTCTTAACCTATAATACTTGATTTTTCATATCGAAAGCTAATTATATCCATACTAACTTAAAAATAAGCATAAACAGTGACAACCAATACCAAAATGTGATTAAGAAAAGTTCCAAGTGTGTCCATCTTGAAACCAACCAATTTCCAAACATTCTCGCTGCTTTAATTTTACTATTTATAGATGATCTTACAGTTTGCATCATGAGTAAACTTTACAATTTGTAAAGGAAAGTAAAAGCAAAAATAAAAAATAAAAAAAGGGAAACAGAAGGGTCAACATGAACTATTAACTATGCCATCAATTTTACATGCCCCTTTTTTCCATTTTTTCTTTTGGTTGTTTCTAAAGGATGTCTTTTTAAAATATTAAAATAGCAAGAAACGAGATTTCCCTCAAACAGATTAATCAAAAAAAATGCAGATCCAATATCTAAATCATACCTCTTACCCTACGAATCTTCTCAATGAATTGCTCACCAACAATACCCGAACTAGGAACATTGAGACCCCGTGCATGACTAATTCTTCCTGAGGCTCTGATTACGGCTATTAGGTCCATACCACCTGATAAACCAACAGTCTCCATTTCCTAACTGTCACGCCTCAAGCTCCATGACAACGTCGCACACTCATTTAAATGAGCATACAAGACTAAAAGTCCAACCACATAAACCAACAATGCAAAATACTCAAATTAAATCTTTAATTATCATAATGCCAAAATTCATAAAAATAAATAATTCTTATCATATGAAATTGTCCACCAAGTCCACTGGTATAATCCACTAACAAAATAATAATCCAAGTACTTAAAGCAAGCTAGGGTTGAAGAATTGAAGAAAAAATGTTAGTGTTGTAAACAAAATTAATGGTAGGAAAAGGAAGATGAAACAGATCTGGTTCAGCGTGTTTTAACGGTTAAAGTGCATCATGATGATGATGATTATGATTATGATGATGAAGATGACAACTAGAGTAGGCAACACACATGGATTCCTGCAGGCAGGCATCGCACAGACCATCCCAAACAAGCTTCAAAAGCTCTCAAAAAAAATTCTAAACTCATCATTGTTGAATAAGAAGTACATACCTTTATACAGAACTCATAATTCCAAAAGGACTGACTCCAAAATTTAAAAAATAAAGACTTTGGCATTTAAAACTCATTCAAAACTTACCTAAAATCATACTTAACAACCCATATAAAACTTGACCCAAATTATAACCCACAGGCAGCAACTACAACCCATTTTCAGAAATTTCTGAAATTAGCAATATACTGATGACCTATAGAACACTACTAGATAATATGAAACAAACCAGATCAATGCCTAACCTAAATAATCATAATATAAGACTCTACCAAGAATAATACAATGATTATGCATAGTTCTAATAGGGCCCACCATGAAATTATGCCAATATCAGAATTTTACTGCTTCCTTGAGTTTACTTTTTTCTTGCATTAATTGAAGAGAAACTTTATGTGCAGTCAAAAGATATTAACAAGATAACTGGACCAAGTATTTGTTAGCAGACAGTGCAAATAGCCAATACATGGTAAATCATGTGCTATTTCACCTGAACTGAGTAGATAATCATAACTTAAAAAGATTGTACATGGTAAACCTTTTCTGCTGCATGTCGTAGTTTCTGGGCAGCCATTGAAGGAAGAAATGAATATGGCAACATTGTAGCAGTGTGGTTTTTTCGATCTTTGCACTCCATAAACCTGAATAATTATCAAGATTAATAATATAATCATGATTAAAACATGAAAAACTCTACCAACACAGGTGTGATTTTTTCAAAGATTTGAACAATAATATTGCATGGCATATGACATAAACAATATAATTACTACTTATGAAATCTGAACTAATTCAAAATGGTTTTGTTGTTCATTTCAATTAAAATTGGTTTTTAAAATTTAATTATGTAAATGAGTAAGACCCTATCACAGCCTTGATCATTTTTCAGTCAATAACTAATATATAAAGAAGTTAGGCTGGTCTCCTCCAAACCCTTATAATGTGAGAATACAGGGTAACTACTACAGAGACTTTGAACAATCAATGGAGCAAACATTTCTTCAATTTGTCCTTCACCAGTTTTGTGGGGATGGGGGTGTTGTGGAACTAAGCAAAGCAAAATAAATATTATATGGCAATAATGAGCTTACCATGCAAGAGGGCTAGCAGTTCGATTAATGAGCAAGATATTTGAATATTGACTTTTCTCTTTGAGATCAACACGAGTAATTTTTTGTACATGGGCCATCCCTCTACTCCCCAACTTCAAGCTTGTTGATAGAGCCAGATGCCATGTTTCAGAATTGTCAAAAACTACAGGAACAGTGTTGGAAATGAGCTCCAAATCATACAACGAATCCATGGCACAGGAGCTAGCAGCCCACCTAATAAATAAAATGACACAAATATCAGCATACATTAGACAACACCTCTAGTTATTTCTCTGAAAATACCACTCAATTTTTAACACGAGAGAGTTACAACTGCTAATACAATGAGGCAACTATTTTTATTTCATTTTATTTTATTTTGTGAGTGCAGCACACATGTCCTGGTTTATTTTATTCATAAGCAAACTAGGAAGTGCCTAATATGCATGCAAGACACCAATCCTGTGTCAGTGTTTGTACCATGCATTGAACCATAAGCCTCAAGTTGTTGCTTTTAATAAAAGGAAAAGAAATGCAAGGAAATTATTTACAAGTGTTACGCAAACAATTCCATTGAAAACAAAACAACGGCCAGTGTTCAACTATTGTCTTCTTCTTTTGTTCCCTCTGTTGTGATGTAACCAACCAAGGATTCTTTACAATAGAAGCCAAATGAAGCTTACCTTTCCTCTGAATTTGCATTGTCTGACTGATGAAAAAGCCCTTTATTATTATGTATTGGATTAATACACATCCTAGAAGGCATCACAAAAGTTCTGCAACAAGATAGAGTAGTGAAGTCAAAACACTTATTACCAAGACTATGATAATCATTAAGACCAACAGTAATGAATTTCTAATCTTTCAGGGTCTCACAAGCATCTTTATGCCAAGACTGAAATCAGATTACTTACTACAGCTATTAAAAGCAAGCATACTTACTACTGCCATCTTTCAATGCTAGTAAATTAAGAAACAAACCAAAGAAGCCAATCTTACTAAAAATGCACATCACTTAAAAGAAATGATTTGTTAAGTTACAAGAGGAAATAAAAGATTGTGTTTTCTCTCATCCCTTGTTTGGTAAAGCTGTAGAGGAAGAAAATAAAAGATAATGAATTTTCTTTTATCTTGATTGTATAGACTACATACAAGAAAAGAAAATAAACTATTACATGTTAGATTGTCAAATAACATTTGATGTTTTTATTTCTTTAGCACTTCGATGGACAATTTTGGTATTATACAACGATATTACGCACTCCATTTCTTTTCTCTCTCTCTCTCTCTCTCTCTCTCTCTCTCTCTGGAGAGCCAGTGGTCCCTATAAAGCACGGATATTTTAAATAGAGTGACGTATCTGTATTGTATCTGACATGGATAGGCCCACAAGGCATACGGCCCACAGTAAACCACCCCAAACCCATCGCTTGGGACCAATGGCATAACCCGGTTGGCAAAGCCCAGGACAGCTGGAGGCCATCTAGACATGAAGGGCCAATGGCATTTGGGCACATGGCAAGTGGGACACGGGCCACATCAGCAGACAAAGATCTGCAGAGTTATTATCACAACACATCACCATTAATGTATCCCATCACAGCATTTATTACGACATCACCCCCCCGCCGGAACAGAGCCTCCATCACCCTGAACAAGGTAAGCTACGGCACAGGCTTTCGGCGAAGGAAAGCACGTCACAAGAGACAGGAAAAATGATAACTAAAGAATATAAGCAAGGAGAGGAGGACAAGAAGAAGGTTAAGCTATCTCTCTCTCTCAATCCCTTTCTACACAGTTTTTCCCATACTCTACTCTACTAATTCTCACACCGGAGGGTTCACTGGGGGACTACCCCGTTCCCCTCTGGGCTTGCATGCAGGTCACCTGACGGAGTCATCACCCTGAGCCGGAGTCTGAAGAGCTTGGACCGGTTCGACCCATCCACCCGGGAAGCAGAAACTTATAACCTCATCAATATGTATGAATATGTGTACAGACGTACATATATATGTATAAAAAGATGTATATGTATGTGTGAAGGAAGTATATAAAAGATATAAAAAAAATAAAACCGAGTTTTTATTGTTCTAGAATAGCTCCAAAGAAAAGGATAAATTATAAATACACTTTCTAGGGTTTGCTTAAAATACGATTTGCCCCTTATGGTTATGAAAATTACATCATGTCGCTTGAAATTTTCAATTTCATAACAAATTGTCCATTTTATTAATAAATCATAAAGTCAATTAACAAATTTTAATGATATCATAAATTTATTTCAATTAATAATTCAAGTAAATTTTATCATTAGATAGCAGAGTAATTAAGAATTTTATTTTTTCAGTTAATTCTTTCAAATAAAAAATCCTAATAAACGGGTATTTGTAATTTTTCAAACCATAGGGGCAATCAGTATTTTAAGCAATTCTCAAGGGGTGTATTTATAATTTATCCAAAAAAAGGATGAAAATCTATAAACAACCCATAGATTTTACCTATAGATGTATATGGAATTATCAAGAAACGAATAACAATTTGCTTTACACAAAAAAAAAAAATAGTGAATAATATCAAAGGGCAAAATCATCCATGGAAAGATGGAAACAATTTTTTTTTAGAGTTTTGCTATTAACACCTACCTTTATTCTTTGAAGCTCCTATTTTTTTGAGCCTACGCCTTATAAATTCAATTTTAATAATATTTCTTTTAACGCCCCACTTAATACCAAAATTTATCCATATTTATAATATCATCACCCAAGTTATGTACACCCACCTCATTTGCACACCCTCTCTCTCCATCAACAATAAAAAACAACGATCCTTCTCCATTAGCGATACCCTCTCCATCATTGATGGTGCAGATTGACCGTGTTGAAAATTGATTGAATCATTTTGAAACCCTAATTGAATGCAATTTCCAATCCAAGAAAACTGGGCTCTTCGATTTTGATAGAAACTGAGAACATTGTCATTTGAATCGAAGTTTATACTCCTAGATTTGTTGGAAATCGACCCTCCAATTGGGTTTTTATGTTCAGAACTAAGTAACCAAATAAATTTCTCTTGTCCAGCATTGTGTTACTGAACTAAAAGGATTCGTTCAACATTATGCTTCTGAACATAAAGGATTTGTTTAGCATTGTATTGCCAAATATAAATGATTAGTTAATGCAAGGATCGAAAAGATAGATAAATTTACCAATGTAATGGAAACCTCGTCTGAGTTGTTGTCATTGTCTTCAATTGTTCGACTCATCTAACCAATAGGTTCGTTCGATGCTACAATAGTACCGTCGATCGTTGTTTGTCTTTTGGTGAAACCAACGACAATGATTTCTATATCTAATACATATATCTATGGTTTTGTTGCTGCTAAAAAAAAACAATATTGATTTATGATCAGGGTTTATGGTAGTCATGAGAAGACGAATTGTGATTATGGTTTAGGTTAGTCATAGTCGTCCATCTATTGAATGGTGATTTCTTTTGGTGGGGGTGGAGGTAGGTGTACAATAAAAAATGTGATTCTAGAGTGTTTGAGATGATCTAAATAGGTATACTTTTTAAATTTTTATGAAAAGATGTGAAAAAAAGTATAGAGGTGATTTGACCCAAAAAAGGTAAAAAAAAAAAGTGCACTTTTATAGATTATGCCAAATTGTCTTGATTTGGTGGGTGTGTTCTATTAGAAGTTGTCTTTTATTGTACGTTATAATTGTAATAAAAAAAGTTAAAATTAAGGTTCCAACGAATAAATGTATGTGTTAATAATAACACTTTTTTTTTTGTCCTTAAGAAAGAAAACACTACTTTTTGAAGGAGTTTACAAAGTAAAATAGTTGGCTCTGGCATTTTCACTAAAAAGGGATCCCACAAGGGAGTTTTGGCTACTAATTTCTAAACGAATCCTTAGGTGTTTGGGAGTATGGTTTTCAAAACCGGACCAGATTAACCCAGTCAGTTGAACCGGTCCTTGGTCTAGTTTGAGTCTCTGCTAAAACCATTCTACACAAATAATCGGCCTATTTTAAAGCATCTCCAATGGTATTTGCTACAAAGTGGCAATTATAGCAATGAATAGTAGTAAATTGCTAAATTATAGCAATGGTGCTCCAATGGTCACATGCTATTTTGGCAAATCTCAACCAACTTTCCCTCCAAATTTGTAGTTGTTGTTTGGATATAAGTTTTTCAATGATTTTTGTGTGTGTGTGTGTTTATTTTCTGTCTTTTGTGACCTTTTTTCAAATGTTTCTAAACAAACTTATATGTTTATATTATACTCAATTAGACAAATATAAAAAAAATAAAATTTGAAAAAAAAATAAATATAATTTACCCCACCAAAAAACATAACACTAAAAAAATATATATATATATTAACTACATTAAAAAATAAACAATCACCAACTATCCACCAACAACTATCCATTATTCATCCAGCATTCATTCACCAATAACCATCCATTATTTACCCAACATTCATTCACCAACAATCATCCATCATTCACCCAGCATTCATTCACCAACAACTACTCACTCAACAACCATCCATTATTCATCCACCATTCACTTACTAATAACCACCCATCATTCACCCACCCACAATTTTCTCTGTAAATTATACTATAAGATTTTTTACAATTTTCATATTCACCTACCTACAGTTTTTGTATATTCTAAACTCTCTATGCCCACCCACAAGATTTTTTTTTTTAATTTTCGTATTCACCCACCCACTCACCCACCCATCCACAATGAACAATTTCACTAAAGTCGTATTGAATGGAGATTTTGATGAATCTTCATCATCTGATGATGCAACTGTTAATAGCGCAACAAAGAATACAAGCGTTAACCCTAAACCAACCAACCATACATGTTTGTTCCACAAAGTGGTCATCGATACATTAATTGTGAGAGAGTCAAAGGCGACAAACAAATTTACAGAGATTACTTTGCAGATAATTCTGTCTACTCAGAAGAATACTTCCGAAGACGTTTTTGAATGAAGCGGTCAATATTTCTTAGTATCTTACATGATATTCTACAAGTCAATGAATACTTCATCCAAACCCAAGATGTCACTGGTGTTCCTAGATTGGATTATTTGGTGTACAGAAGATGACTGTTGCACTTCAAATCCTGCAATACTGGATACTTGTTGATGCTGTGGACTAGTACATCAGAATCGGCGAAACTACTACAATTACCGCATTGAATTTTTTTACTAGAACGATTGTTACTATCTATGAAGGCGTTTACTTAAGATCCCCAAATGAGGTAGAGCCATTGCTTAAATCCATATGCATTTCAATGACAAAAAGAGCACCACTGGATTATTATCTAACGGTTCAGATGAACCCTCTAGAATAATCTTGAGAAGCATCTCCCAATTCTGCTTCCTCTCTATCTATCTCTCTGTCTCTTTCCATTCCAGAACCAGACACAAGAATTGGTATCTCCCCTCTCTCTCTCTTACTGTCTCTCTCTTTCTCTCTCTCTCTCACCGTCTCCATTCTTCCTCAATTACTCTCACTCTTTGTCTCTCACCTTCTTCATCACCACAACCATATTACAACCACAGGAACCACTACCACCACAACCAACAGAACCATCACCATACCCACTGCCAATCTCCAACCTTCAAATCCTAAATTTTCTTCTCTCTTCTTCAACCCTCTTCTCTACCACAACTCCCTATCTCTCACCTTCTTCTCACCATCTTCCTCTTCGATCTCTTTTTCTCTCCTTTCATTCTAAACCCTTTTCCTAACCCTAACCAAAATGATCTCTCTCTCTCTCTCTATTCTAAACCTCTTCTCCAACGATCCTTCTCTCTAAAAAATGATCCAAACTCAAAACCATAAGAAAGACCATCCAAAGAAAACGAAAAATATCAACCCAAAGTCGTAACG